TGCTTGTTTTTTTTGTTTTGTTTTATTTTGTTTTGTTTGTTTTTTGAGACAGGGTTTCTCTGTGGCTTTGGAGGCTGTCCTGGAACTAGCTCTTGTAGACCAGGCTGGTCTCGAACTCACAGAGATCCGCCTGCCTCTGCCTCCCGAGTGCTGGGATTACAGGCGTGCGCCACCAACACCCGGTTCTGTTCAGTTATTTTGAGACATGCCCTTCTCTAACACAAATGGGTCAATCAGGTTAATATGTAGAGAAAAAAAACCCCACTATTTTCTAAATCAGGGGTGCTTTTGAAAAGCCCACCTTTTACCTAAATTTCCTACAGCCCCTCCCATTTGAAAATACACTATAGTCATTAGTGAATAAAATAACCTTTAAATTCTGAAGTCTAAGGAGTTAGGAAAGTCAGTCCTCCACTGGGCAAGCCTGGAATTCATGAGGGAAAATGTGCTTTCAAGTTGTTCTTATGGCCCAGGACCAGATGCTCCAAGGTGGCCAGAAACCTTTGTCTACACCCACTTAGCAGATTTCTGGCTCTTTATCAGGGACTCAGAGGTTTATTTGCAGAAATGAATCATTTCCTTCAAAGTCTCCCTTACCCTATTTACATGCTTGCATATTCCTTCCATTTTGTTTCCCCCTACAGCGTTACTCAGGAATTAATTATCTAGAAGAACAGGAACATACAGTAAGTACATCTGAGATCCAGGATGGGACACAGTATGTCATCTATTAGGCCTGGCTAAGACCAGCAGCTGATGCTAAATGGGAAGGAACATGCACCAAATGTTTTTTAATCACAAAGTTAGTAATTAATTGCTCTTTAAAATACATTTTATGCTTCTTTCTGTCTGTGTACATGAAATGCACATTTATTACATGCCAAAAATTACAACATTATGGTTTAAATGTGACTGGCACGGAAGTCCGGAAACCAGAGTTAATGTCCCCACAGCAACTTTAATCCTGTCTGTGTGCACATGTAGAGCATGTCTTCCATTACAGGATAATACACAGAGATGATCTGGGGAGGGGCGCTAAAGCCTCATCTCCTCAACTGTAGTTAAGGCGAGACACAAAGGGGAAAGGCTGTTTCTTTCCACAGACATGGCTAAAAACAATGTCCTCCTGCCGGTCTTGTGGAACCTCGAATGAAAGAGTCTGCTGTGATGCTGCACTCGGCACTCAAGGGGACAGTTTCTGTTGCTGTGGGAACCTGAACTTTGCATTTCCTGACTTGGGGGTAATTAAAATGTCAGCCTTAATGTGGCATTAATGGAGTTTGCCATAAAAATCCTCTTTGTTTTGTTCTCTCAGAAATTGCTTAAAAGTTCAAAATGATCCAAGTGTACTAAAAACTTAATCACAGGGGCCTTGGATGAGTGAAGGGAAGAGTAGAGAGAGAGAGAGAGAGAGAGAGAGAGAGAGAGAGAGAGAGCGCCTGGGAAGATGATGGCAGGCAGGGGACCGGAAAGGAAGAGCCCACAGTCTCCTCGACAGCAGGCAGCCCCAGCAGCACCAGGCTACCTACACAGCTAAACTTAAACCCACCCACGCAACAGTTTGGAGATGTGTAAAGGTTAAATTAAAAATAAATAAAAAACTGTTAATGTATAAGTGAATCTTGGCAAGGACACAAGAGCCAGACAGTCTGATGAGTCCAGCACAAAAACACTGGACGTCAAAAGGAACTAACATAGATCTCTAGCAGAAGCAGGGAGGACCATCAGGAAGGAATGCTCTTCCCCTTCTATGGGAGCCTTATTGGGATGGGGGAGAGACAGGATGGAAGAAACATGCAAGTAAAAGTTCTGGTTGTGTCTGTCACATGAGTATGACTGTGATGTGCCACAGCTTGGTAGTTGTCAGGACAGGCTTTTCATATGGGGGACTTTGTCTACTCTACTCACTCCACTTTGTCCTGTTTAAGTATTGAGCTTGGCTTACTGCGCACACAGCCTGTTTGGTGGGCTGCCCTATCAAACATCTAGGGTTCTTGCACCCTTTCTATTCCCAAATTCATCTTAATGCCTTCTATTACCATCATCTGAATTTGTTTACCATTATGCTTTCAGAAAAGGTGTAGAGGTGACAAGCTCCGTGGAAATGGTAGAATATTGCTGAGCAGAAATTTTGTTGGGGACGGCATCACCAAACAGCGTGCATTTCTGTGGCAGGATAACAGCAGCATCTTGCTGAAGGAAAGCATATCTGACTATACTACTTCTGCTTTTGAACATCACTAGGATCTCTGGCCAAGGCAGAAGTGACAAAGATTACACGGCCAAGGCACAAATGCTGCAACATGGCAGGTTACATGGCCAACTAATCATTTAAGGTGCTGGATTGGTTGCCTCTACACGGGTGTAGGCAAAAGCACCATGACTTGTCACCCTTTCCTAGTTACAGCAGAGCTGACTTCTCTCCTGTGTGGATGATTTATCTACTACGTTTTTATAACTACATCACCATTATGAGTAGCCACACACTTCCAAGATGCCTGTTTGTAGCCAGGAATACCATCTTTGCACTTTGAGTAGAGAGTTCTGGATGCTCAGAATGAGAGATTTGTAAACACTCATCAGCACCCACGTGTGAGTGTGCTGCAGGCAAATCCTTCCTCAGTTAGGTGTCAGTTTTCTCAGTTCTCTCATCTGTAAATTGGGAAGAATCATGCTGATGGACAGGAAGTGGGCATTAAGTCATGACTAAGAATAATTTTGCTAAGTACACAACAAAATAAAAAGGTGCTATGAAAACTCAAGCACTTGTGAAAGCTTGGAACACCACATACTGGTAGAATGTTCCTGAAGTTAAAGAGACTAACAAGTCAAGGGCACTATTTTTAAATGCCCCAAATCTGTTCATTCTAAATAGGAACTGAATATTTTACCTTAAAGAAATTAGGCTTTTAAATTAATCTATGGTAAGAATGACATTTGAAAGAAAAAAAAAAACCCTCTTGAATGCAAGAAGAGCATCCAAAAAATTTAACAGCTTAAAATAAACTCCTTTCCTGTCTTCTCTCAAGCAACCTCCAAATGGACAGATTTCTGTGAATCTTTCCTAAAAAACAATCTTCCTCTAAGTGTAGGCTCAAATCAGGACAAACTACAATCCAAATATGTTTGGAGAGAAGTACAATCCGTATCAACAACAGGTCGGTGTGGAGAAGACTACACATCTTAATGGCAAAATCAAAGTGACTTTCTAGACAGCTGAGATTAAGTTTCTCCTCCCATTTCGGTCTACTTCCAACTGCGTTCACACACCCCACTGAGCTCCACTCTGCTGGCTTCCACAGGGTCTGTAGTGACAACACCATCCTGCTGTTCCTTCTGCATATGCCAGGCTAGTAGGGCAAGTAAGGCCTGGCTGGCTGGTGCTTACTGTACAGGATACAAAACTAGTGATTTTTCTACTCAGTAAAGCATTTATTTGGTTGCACCAGATTTCTTGGCTAGGACCATCCTATGCAATCTTCCCCATAGGTATGGCAGGAAGCCAGGTGATGAAGGTATGCACACTGAGAGTCCAGGCCTTTTACCAGAGGAAAGCCACCTTCCTGGTGGGCAGGGGCAGTGTGCACATGTCTGTGGGGCACTGTGCCATGCTATTTTCAAGTTCTTCCTGTAATTACTATTAAACTGGAGACTTCCAGGCAAGAAAAGTCCAAGGATATGACTATGGTGATGGTCCATGGGATAAAATCCCTACGCCTAAATAGAAGCCACAAGTTTGACTGTACAGATCACGTGGCACTTAGTGACTTGGATCTCATTTTCTTTCCATTTTCTAGTGACAGCTGGAGTGTGGCTGCAGCCCAACCCCTGCCCCAGCTCACATCTCCTGTCCACAGGCTATGATGTCAAAGTGAGTGGGGGAGGGAATCGCTCAGGTTCACCCTTTGTCCTCCTTGCAGAATTTTACATTTGTTCTGTGAGAAAAATAACAGCAAGAGATTTGGAATCTTGTTTCCTAATGGTGATTTTTTTTTTTTTAATTTGTCTTTGAGGAACAGGATAAATGGAGCCCTTTTGGGGAATAAAGCTTTCTTGGTATATTTAACTCACTCCATTATGCCAGCTCTCTGCCTGTTACCAGACACCCTGTGGAGATCGGTTCAGAAGAGTTGTTGGGCATCTTGAAGCTAAAAGGAATACTTTTTCGGTTTGGTATTGTCAACACATGTGTTCCTCTCTCAAGTACTGGGTTACCCTTGAGAAACGAAAAACAGCCTCCTAACGTGATTTATCAACTTGCTTAAAATAGGATTTAAGAAGTGACTTCTAGATTAGTGAGAAGATGGCAAAAATAAACAGCAGAGAAGTGACTTCAATAGTGACGATTCTCATTAAGTGCCCATTTCCAAATTTAGCCCGTAGGCAGTTTTTTTAATTAAAAAATATTTTTAACCTGCATTCTTATTGGCTATGTGAAGTCTGGGTGGCTTTTGAATTCTTGGAAGCCATTCTCTTTTCTTCTGTAAATGTATGCTATCCTTTAACCACTTCAAAATAAATTAAAAACTGGAAAGACCGAAATTCAGCCAAGCTACATGAGACTCCAATAACTAATGCAAATCTGACTTGGGTTATGTAATTTGGAAATGGTTGTTTCCTTGTGTCTCACTGGCTTTCTGAGGTCCATATTTGGTTGTTCCATTTAGTAATGGTAGAAGTGCTGTTACTGAGAGCAAGAACAATCAGAAAGCAACAATACTACTTCTTTTTGTGCATTACTCATGAAAGAGAATGTGGCTCATGTAATTAATCAGCATTTTGAGGCCAAACGCCTGGTCACCTGGCTTTAAAAGATACTCTGGCTTTGAAAGATATAGATGCTGGCTGGATCAAAATGGTGGTATGCTACTCTTGGCTACTCTGGAAGACCAAATGGAAACAGCTTGCTCTGAATGCAAAACAGCCAGAACCCTGGGGTGGGGGGGAGAAGCATCATGCCAAGCATTGGGAAGACACTGTCACCTCACTGGTGTACTCACAATCAGACGACCCGGTGTGAGCGTGAGAGTTTGTCAGTGAATGTGTTGAGTGGATGAGGGCTGGGTCTGGAGACAAAACAGCTTCAAAGTTCAGGCAGGGAAGGCCCGGCTTGGCGCTGGATCCACCCGGCTGAGTAATCTCATTCTCCTCAGATGCCTTCTGGTTTTCAGCTGTCTTGGGTTTCTTCCTGAGAATAAACAAAGGGCCCTTTGAAGGAACTGACTGCATATTTGGGAAAAGGCATTTTTAGAATCTGTTAAAGATAACTTGATTTTTTTTTTTTTTTCTGAAGGGGGATGGAAGGGAGTCCAGTATGTCCCTTGTTTTAAAACAAGCTGATTCTTGTTTTTTTCCCTCCAGTAATGGCCTAACTGGGAACACATGAAAGCATATGGGCCAAGCAAACAGCACCACATTTGGACTCTGTTGGCTGTATAAAAAGACCCTGTCCCAGAACTTTAGACAGCTTGAGCTACGTATGGCTGACATTATCCAAGAAAGCATCCTTTCCCCCCTTAGAGTTTTAACATGGTCTGGAAAGAATACTAGTGGAGGTTTACCGTTCTAGCATTTGTCAGGAAGCTTAGAGATGGGACCGTGGAGTAATGGGAAGAGCACTGGACTGGGAGTCAGGAGACTTGAGCTACAGTACTAGCTGAGCCTGCAACTTGCTGTGTGGCTTTGGGCACCTTACTTCACCTCTCTGGGCTTCAGTTTCCTCATCTGCAAAATAAAGGGCTTAGATTAGAAGGCCCTACAAGGCTCCTTCTAGCTTTAAGTCTCTGTTCTTGAAACACATTATGGAGTATCCCACTTTCCTGTTTCTATTAGTTTTAAGTCAATACCTAATTTCAAATCACAACCTCAGTCTGTAGGCTGTACAGATGAGAGGGGCAGTGGTAGAGGTGTATGTACTGTGGAAAGTGAAACGTGATTAGGAAGAGCTTAGGCTTCAGTAGGTAAGGAGGGAAGGTGTCACATATTCTCCACCCTGCTCTATTCATCCAGGCCTTCACATGCTCTTTGTTCTTAGGTTTAGTATAGGCTCCCGGAGTTTAGGAATGTGACTGGTATTTGCTTTGTGAGAAAGAGATTGCTGATGGGGAGTGGAGAGGTGGTGGTGTTATTTAGTGTCAGGAATAGAAAGTGACACAGTTTAGCTATCAGTCAGTTCAGGGCTCCTTTCCCAATGACAATACAATCAATAGTAACTAGCAAATCAGCATCTGCAGCACACCGACCCCAGACCCTAGAAAAAAGGGGTATGAGTTCCTCCTTAAACACGACCCCCATTTCTGTGGCTTTTGTTTTTTTCTATCAGAATGTAACCACAGAATATGGTGTTTTTTTGTTTTTTGTTTTTTTCCTTTTTGGATAGATTACGTGTGGGACATAATTTGTTGTAAGTATCTGTGTTTCCATGTTCTCCTTGTTTCTATGGGCATGGCATTGGACTTGTATACAGAATATTTCATATTGAAATGTGTTGTACTGGGTAGTCAAATCTGCCCTCGCAGAATATGGTGTTATGATTAGTATGCTGTGTTTTTAGTCCAACAGGTTGTGAAATCAAATCTGTTTCTTCAGAGGGCATGAGGCAGAAATAGCATGGTAAAGATTAGAATTGGGGGAGGGGAGCTTTCCAATACATTTCTCAGTGCGGAGAAAGCCAACATAACAAAAATAAGCCTTATCATTGCTGAGTAGGTGACTCTGGGGCTAAACCTCCAATTCCATGCCTTCCTGGGAACCCCCAAGGATCTGCTACTCTGGTTTTTCAGATTAAGAAAGCATCCAAGATCAAAGTCTCCAAAGTCCGTCCCCCCCTCCTCCCTTCTCCCCTGGGGAGAACCAGTGCTTCCCTGAGGCAACTATTTCTAGCAGTGGGGTCTGTTGTGGAAGATCCCAGTGCAGCGCTCACTTTCCTTTGCCTCAGTTTACCCTGAAGTCCTCTCAAGTCTGCCCCCTCTCCAGGCAGCTGCCTTAACTCTTTCCAGTGTCCACTAATTTATTTGCCATCCCCCACCCCCCATCACCCTAGTCCTGGGCTTTTCATTCACTAAATCCCACAGGACCATGGAGCTTGTCATTCGAGGTCAGCTCCTTATCTGTCCTGCCTTAGCTCATGGGTTCCATATACTGGCCACCTTGGAGTTTGTTTTTCATTCCCAAAGCTCTGGAATGTACATTCTGGGCTAGTCACCTTTACTCATTGTGGTTCTTGTTTTGAACAGCCTTTTCTCATTTCTACCTGATGAAAAGAGACATACCCTTCACACTTATTAAATGCCAGCTACATGTTACACTGCTGTGAGTCCCTTTTTTCAGAAAGGGTGACTCCATATTATTTTAAAATCTCAGTCATTTCAGTATTCTTGTTTTACTCACTAAATCTTATTTCAGTAATTGTTAGTTATATGTTCTTACTTCTAGGGGAATGTTCTAGTTATTGTTATATTTCTGGTGTTCCTTCCACCTTTCTGCTCCTCCCCTATTCATTCATTCATTCATTCATTCATTCATTCATTCATTCACACATTCATTTTACAAATACTACATGGCTGTGATGTGTTAAACAGGTTTTGGGTTGAGCAATCTGATCCTGTCCTTCTAGAGTTTACTGTCTAGTCTATACTGTGAACCAGGGCAACTTTTACACAGCAGCCATTCAAAAGCTGTTGGCTGATGGAATTAAATAGAGCTGAAATTCAAGTACACTTGGAGACTAGTCTCAGTCTGAATCTCAATTAAGCTTCCTAGTTTTTATGCAGCAGTGGAATCAAACTGGATTGGTTGATTTTTCATTGATTAAATGAAGAGTATTTAATAAGAGTGGCTGGTCCTTGTAATTCACCTAAATATAGGGACAAAACACCGATGGCCATTATCATGTAGCAGAAAAGAAAATGACCTCTGGTGCGTACAGACAAGGCCTGAGTTAGTTTCAGACATGTGGTTGAGAGAATTAAGGGTGCTCTCTTCCAAGCACTAGTGCTGCCAAACACCCAATGTTTCTGATTTAACCCTGGAGAAACTGCACTGCTTACATCCTTGCTTACATCTTGTCCTGAACTGGATTGTGATGCCTGCATGGTATCTTGTGCCTCATCCTATGTCTAGGATCACCTTGGGAGGCCATCCGTGGCGCAGGAGCATTGCAGCCACCTCTGCAAGAAATACATATTCAAAACCAGCCTATCTGGCTCCTCCCCTCATTTGCTTAATATCACTTTATTTATCCTATTAGCATTGGCTGTTTCCCAACTTACAGATAAGAGCACTGCATGAAGTTTGTGGGAGCATTTCCCCTCCCGCCCCAGCTTCTTTCACAATTCTTTGGGACTCCTTTCTGAAGCCAAGGAATAGCAACACATTATACCAACCAGTCTGTCTGACACACACAGGTGCTGTTCTATGGCCCATTTTTTTCAGTTTGTGGTTTATTAAAGAGGAAAGAGCAAGCTTTCTTGTAATTAACTGAAAATGCCTTCTTTGGTTGAATAAAAAGGATTGTACAAACATGGCACATCTGAGGACATGTCTGTACAAGCCTGTGTGGCCTGCACTATCCCCTGGAGCCTGTAGAGGGCAGCAGCACACTGGCTGACTCCAGGCAGTGTTTCAGTGAGCAAACTCCTACCAGAACCTTCCTCCTGGTCACCATGCCAAAGGTTGATTTGCCAAGCTCTTTCTGGCCTCTCAGTCTCTTTCAAGTTTGTTTTCTCCCCCGCCTGCTGTGCATCTCTCTCTCTCTCTCTCTCTCTCTCTCTCTCTCTCTCTCTCTCTCTCTCTCCCTCCCTCCCTCCCTCATCTCTCTCTTTCCTCTCTTTCTCTTTCCCTCTCTGTTAAAATTATACACTGTGATGAGGTGGCCCCTCAACCGGAAAATGAAAACTTCAACAAAAAAGTCAGACAGGCCAACAACAACAAAGAAAAAGCCGGGGGAAAGGGGAAAGGGGGCTGTGAGGGAGAAAGCATTCAGAACAAGAAAAGGGCAGATGTTTCGTAAATATATGCAAAGCAAAACTGGGTGGACCCTGAAGACTTCCACAGAAAAACAGGCCAATCATTGTGCACTTCCTCCCGCCACACTGGTGGAGCTCTGCATGAGAGAGAGAGAGACAGAGAGAGAGAGAGAGAGAGAGAGAGAGAGAGAGAGAGAGAGAGAGAGAGAGGAGAGGAGAAAAAAAAGTGTGGCCTCAGGCACCCGCCTTTCAACGGTCAGTGCTGACATTCTGACTGAACATGTCCCAATTGTCCAAAGAGAACAAAAACATTTTCATCTCCCCACTGTGAACATTTTTGTTATGAGAAAAAGACTGCTTCAAGAAATAGGAAGGCGGTTTAAGGTGAAGGGCAGCCGAGCTAGCCAGCAGAACCTTCTGTGTTTTAACTCTCCCTTTGCTGGCCCCCACAGAAAGTTTCAGGCTGAAATATAGCAGTGAGCAAGGCTGTGAAGGATGCTGGCTCTTCCCTAACTAGACCATATTGTTTGTGCAGAGAAATATGCATTAAAACATATGGATGCACTGTTAGGTATTAAGCATGTTAAATGCATGGAAATTAGGCAGATCCGTAGTGTTGGATGTATATAGTTCACACTCTTTTGCACATATTGCACACATACAGTGATGGCAATACTTTCTGTAACATATGGAAAAATAAATATTTTATCCGTGTGAGCTCTTATCAGTCTCCAGGGTCTGTTGAGAGGCAAGTGCTTCTTCTATCTCTCTCTCCCAATTCTCTCCCTTCAGTGGGCTCCCACCCTCTCCTGCACATTAACAGGCTTTCCACTTACCAGCCTGGTTAGATTGGACAGGATTAGTCAGAACCTCCCTTTGATAAATAATTACTTAGTCACTGGATCAGGATAATTTAAATCAGTGACTCCTTCCTCAGCCTTTTTGGAGTGGCAACTATTTCCCTCCTCTGTTTCACAACTGTGGAGTGTCCAGGGAGGGGTTGGGGCAGAAGTAAAAGGCACTACCACTCCCACCTGGGGAGGGGGATTTAGGAAAACTGAGCACCACCAGATAGCGGCCATGTGCCCAAGGCAGGTTAGTTTGCATCTCTGAGCCACCATCTCCCCTGTCTGTAAAATGGGAACAGTGATACCTTCCAGCTGTGGGCTATGGGTAAGAATAAAGGAGATGAGCCAGGTTGTGTTTAGCACAGTCAGTGTTGGCCCAGGAACAAGTACTCTATGATGGTGCTTTTTGAAAAATATTAGTTCTGTGGTGTTCATTTAAGCTGTACAAGTAAGGCATCTTCATTTTAGTAATATTTTGAATATCTAGGTCAGGGGCAAGGGCAGAAGGATTGTTATTGTAGTGAACAGAGAAGGAATGTTAGGCTCAGCAACCTCTTCCCACCCTGATCTCACCCCCCAGTCTCTTCTGTTCACATGCCTCTCATTGCTGTGGCTGCACTCAGAGCTCCTTGGAGCTGAGGGTCAAGCAAGCTACACTTGGCCTGCAGTAGCCCATGGGCCCGAACACTATGGTCTATTCATGAAACCAACCTACAGGACTCTTGCTTATCACGCCTTTTTACAATTTACCCTTTCACAACTTGGCCCAGTATTCTCACATTAATTTAAAATTTTTCATGATTAAAGCATTTTATTATCTCAATCCTTTTTTTTTCCTTCTTGGCAGGGCTGATTTACAATATTTTTCACTGTCTCTCCTCACTGTAGTCAGGATCCTGGCAGGAAATAAATGGCACATGTAAAGTCCCCTCCCCCCCTTTTTGTTTTTTTGAGACAGGATTTTGTTGTGTAGCATTGGCTGTCCTGGAACTAGCTTTGAAACTGGCCTCGAACTCACAGAGATCCTCCTGCCTCTGCCTCCCAAGTGCTGGGATTAAAAGGTGTGTGCCTCTACTGCCCAGCTACATGTAAAGGTTTTAACTGAAGAGATGAAGGAACTGTGTAGATGAGAGCAAGAGGCACTCCCAAGTGATGGTGAAGTAGCAGAGGGATCAGCAACAATGGAGAGCTGTTGATCTCTGAAGGCGAAAGAGAGAGAGGGGGGGCGGCACATTCTCTGAACTGAGCCAGGGTGGCACTACGGTGGGCTGTGACATTCTCACTTCTTGCTGCTCCCATCCTCACATCTCTTGCAGAAGTCTTCTTTAGGCCTGATTCTAAGGAGGCTAGAGAACAAGTGAGCCCAGGGGATTGGAGCCCTGAGAAGTCTCTGGGACAGGGAACAGTAGGTGGTTTGGAAAGATTCATTGGCATACCTATTGTTTCCCCTTTGCATTTCTTTCACACTTTTCCTCTCAATTATACTTTCTGGAAGGAAAAAAGGAAAATAAAATCAAATCAGTCCTGTGTTAGCTTCCATGTACCTATTTTGTCTGTTTGCCATTTATAGAGCAGGGAAACTGAATGCAATCTCACAAGCGGGGATTTGTTTGTGTTCCTTGCTACAATATCCCAATCCCCAGAATAGTGCCTGGCACCCAGTGAATGCTCAGTAAGTTGTAGTGGAGTAAGGAGATACACTCATCTCTGCTGTGCCAGACCCTCTCTATACATCATCTGGCTAAATTATCACAAAAGCATGAGTAAGCAGGCAGGCTTGAGCATGTGTACAGGTAATTTAATAAAACCAAGCACTTGCTCCAACCATCACTTTCGACTTGGGGAACAGGTACAGAGAGAGCACTGGAAGCTCTCAGGATATTCTCAGGAAGGGACACACTTTTGTAAAGTTCCCGTTTTTATATTTTCCCTGCCTTGGTGACTATTTCTTTTGTGTGTGTAAGGGCAGATACTACTAGGGTTATAATCCAACCTGCCCATTCCCCAGGGCCCAGGAGAAGATGAAACAACGTTCTGAGGCAAAAACAGGTGACTATGCCTTTCCTTGTAATTTCCAAGACCAGATTCCAATTCTTAGCTTTAGGTTTGTGCTCTCTGCAGCACAAGAATGGAGGAGCTTCAAAGAATACACAAACCTTGATACCAGACTATATCCTAGCGCAACTGCGCTACTGGCACAGCCATCACTTTATGTTGAAGTAAAATTCAGACGTGAGAAACTACTCAGATGTGAGGATTTCTAAGGGACTCCCTGCACATAAGGATAAATTATGCAATTAAGTTCCCTGTGTGATTATAGGCAGAAGTAACAATTTACGGTCTTCTCGCATGTCATTATGGACTAGTCCCTCAATGTCCTTCATTCCCCTTCTTGGCCAGAAAGGCCTGTCCATCACCTACATACCAGCTATCATCAATTATCACCCAAGAGATCAAATGCATTACAGGTAAAAAAGACTCAAAATAAAATGTTAGCATCATTTCTTTCAGTTTGAGGTATACTAGGATAGCTAAAGACATGGGCAATATAAAGTAAAAAATCCTACTAGGCATCTAAGAGGAGGATTAGCCTCCCAGGGTTAGCATTTTCCAGAATCAGAGACTTCTGTAAATCACCATCCCATTACCTGCCTTATACCCTACAGAAAAGCTTACAAGTACAATTAAAATGCATAATTATTTTACATGCATAGCTTCTAAACAATTCAAATGTCTGGCTTTTCTTAGTGGAAAAAAAAGCATTTATTCATCTATTAGTTTTAATATGATTAGTAAATTTTCCTTAGTTTCCTGTGGCTATTGACTCACCTACCCTGTCTTACTTTCTTGTGGGGATATATTTCTACAGAAACACCCTGTGTACAAGAAATCCAATCAGCTACACAGAGCCATGCACCCAAGAGGGCAGAGCAGACCTGGCTTGATGGGATGGAAATATGGTGGAAGGAGCCCAGAGTCCCACAGGAAGCCTTGTCTCCTTACAGTTGCAAGGAAGCAACAACATGGCTGTGTCCCAAAGATCATGTAGGCATAGGCAAGCTAATCTGGCTCAGAGATTTGACTGGGGTGACATGGAATGACAAGCAACTGCCAGATTCAATAGACTGACAGATGATGAGCCATAAACACAGGAAGAAGAGCTACTACCATCTTGGGAAGAGGCACACATGACCAAGCAGAATAGCTCCAGTCCCTGCAAGGTATACAGAGATCCAGCGTGACACAGCCACCAGGAAATGGGAGACAGATAGGAGAGAACACTGCCCAGGAAGCCATGCATGCAATGAATGCTGGTAGATGAAAACAGCTGAGGTATTGGGACTGGTCGCCTAAGAGATGAAGGTGCATCTAAAAGATGAAGCTACTTGAAATTTTACCTGCTTTTACAATTGTGTGGTTTATCATCATCACCATCACCATCATCTATTAAACAAAGTAGACTAATTTACTGGAGGCATAGTGTACTTACAGCAGTTTTCAGATAAATGGTGTCACTCTTCAGGTAAGTCACTCCAAGGCTTGGGCCTAGTGCAGATGTTCATTGGGGCAGGGGACAGAGAGCGGCTGCATCTAGCATAAACAAACAATAAAATAAACAAGGTCATTTAATGAGTGTGATGTGATTATGGCATTCTTTGTTATTTATGTAACAGGTTTTGAAAGAGATGAACTAAGGAACACGATTGAGGCTGGTTCTGCATCTTTTTTCCACAGTGTTTCTGCTGACTGCTGGGATGATCTGAGACATCAGAGCACCCTGAGTGCAGATGAAGCGGCTTTGGAAAGGTGAGTGGAGGTGAGGTCAGAAAGACTGAGGACAGTATCTTTCCAACTTGGCCCAGCCAATTCTTCTGATGTTTTACATGTATTGGTTGATTATTAGCTGGCACAAATTATACCTATTTGTGGAACACATAATGTTATCATGATATTTTGAGGTTTGTGTTCATTGTGGGATAGACAAATCAAGTTACATATTTTGTTTTGTGGTGATAGTTTATTTTTTATTTTTTTTAATCCTAGGGCAGGTAGTAAACTATACATCACAGCAGCTGCTTGGAGAAAGAGAATGAAAAAGGGGGAAATCTCTGAACTTATCTTGTCTAGAATAAAATATTTGTTTAGACTAGAAAAATGTCTAAATAAAATTGCGTATTCTTTGAACATCCCCATAGCTTATGTTAGCCACCATTTTATTCTCTGCTTCTATGAATTTGGCTTATTTTGGGTACCATATCTAAGAGAGAGCATGTATGTTTATCTTTCTATGCCTGGATTATTTCACTCATGTGGCAATGACGAGACTGCCTCTCTTGAAAGGCTGAGTAGTACTGCACAGTGTTTGTGTGTATCCCAGCACTGGTATTTTTGGCTCCCTTCAGTCTCTCCCTTGCTACTGCTCAGGCATTGCTTCTCCTCAAGACTGCCACTTACCTGGTATGGATTCTTGCCTTCTCTATTCCCCTTGCAGAGAACCGAAGTCTCCCTTCCTTATCTTTAACCCCAGGGAAACTATAGATTATGATCTATCTCCAGGGGCCTCCAGCTCACTGCCCCTTCACCCCTGACATTCCTGCCTTTTCAGTCCTGCTCATGGTTCACTTTGTTCATGAAACTCACACACCTTTGTGATGGGGCAAGACACTGTCCTGATTGCCTGTCTCTGTGTCTCCAGTCTGCTGCTCTGTGTCCTGCACTTTGTTTGCTTGTTTTCCTTCTCCTCTTCCCTTGATGGGTAAATTCTTTAGCATCCCCCACTCCCACCCCCTGCAGGCTTTGTGTAGAAATCTTGTCTGGACCCCAACAAGAACTTTCCCAGGGAATATCTACATTGCTATCTCTAGTTCTTGCTTTCTGCATGGCTACATACCCATCTTCTAAAGTCAGCTAGTGACTGACTTTATTTATTTATTTATCATTTGGCCACCCAGTGTGTGTACTAGGAGACCCTTGGAAAAGGTGAGCAGTTCAGGGTCTCTAACTCTCCGAAGCTTAACATCTCTGTCAAGTATTATCAGCCTCTTTTAAATTAGAAACTTTCAGACAAACCTCACTTGTCTTTTCCTCCAAATCAGTTGCTACCCCATAGTTGGTGCTACCTCTACTCCATGGCTTGACTATAGTTGAGCAGTTATCCTGATGTGTTTGCCTTTCCATATCCAATCACCTGACAATCCCACAGTTCTTCCTCTGGCCAACTTTCTTGAATCTACTTGTTTTTGGTACCAAACACCATCACCTCTTTACTGCCCGCTGCCAGATCATCGGAGGACATCTCCTGACTGCCTCCATTCTTCTAGTTTCTTTTCATTTTACACGGACACTCGGCCTTTCTACCATCTTTACATTAGTGCTCTAAAGCACCACCCTAAGCACATTCCTCTTGTGTACAAAACTCCTTTGTTGACTGCATTAAAGTCAAACTTCTCAACTTGACATTGAGTATGTTATAAGGTGGCCCCATCCAATTTTCAATTCTTGTCCCTATCGTTCATTCTATACATCAGCAAAGCCCTACTCTTTCCCATATATTCATGCTACTTTTCTCTCATTCCAATGTCTATCTATAGCTTCTTTATGGGACATTAATGACACCTCATTTAGGAGTCATTTCTCAAAGGGAAATGCCCTTGAATCCCCTGGCACATTCTACTGACACTGATCACTGTATCATTTCTCTCCCCACTCTTGAAAAGCAGAGACAATATCTCAGGGTAGAGGCTTCAGAGATAGCCTGAGAAGCAAATTTTCTCTCTGACCCCATCTTGTACTCCTCTGTCCTGCCTCTTCTCAATGCAATACAAGTCACAGAAGTAAGAGAGTATTTTCTGCAAAGCAGGATATGGGAATTAGAACACCTTTCCTAACAGCAGATCATGAAGCTTAAAAAACATCATTCTAATCTTCTCATGCCTTTCTGTGTAGGAATAGGCCACAAATGTTCCGACATACCTTGTTTGAAGTAGATTATAAGACCCCAGGTTAAGGAAGGGTCCTGTCCATACCCAGGTAGAAGGAACGCTGCACAGAGAAGCCAGCAAGAATCTGAACAGACAGGCCTTTCTGGGTTTCTGTGCTCAGTCTACTACCATTAGGTCACACCCCTTTTGACCAATCATATTTCCACACAGCTTCCCGTTCTCTAGCCAGCTTAAACATGGAGAGTTCACCCTGTATCCTTAGGTATTCATCCTGAAGTCTCTACTTTCAGGTGGAATTGTGGTCCAATGCCTTTCTTGAGCTTTTCTCTTGTGACTGTCTCTGGGTATAGGGCTGTTGGCAATGTCTGTTTATGGTGTGTAGAATAAGGACAACATCTCCTTTCCTTCCTCCAGAGTGCAATTCCTTGCATATGGATGTGTGTTCAGCTGACGTTAGCTGAGTGGAATTCCAAAGGAATAAGGAATCTTGCTTAGAAGGGTATAGAAACTGAGGATGAACTGAGAGGACTTGAGGCTCATCTACTCCACTGTCCTCACCCTCAGATGTGGAGATTAGGGGAGCCGACTTCTCAAGATCCTACCCTTGTTAACAACTAAGCAAGGATATCTGTCAGTGCCTGATGAATACCAATAAGCCCAGCAGACCACCAAGAGTAATGGCCAGACCAAAAGACCAGGCTAGAGACAGGGAGAGCTTGAGGGAATACTGTTTCAGAACTAACAAACTTGTTTCACTTATTAGCTTCAACAAACTGAGCAAATAAATACCATTTTATAGTTCAATAGCACCTTAAAATGAGGGTGGATCATAAAAACAAAGAAGCAGATTTTTCTAATATCACCAGCAGTAATAATTATGATAACAATGAAAATACCATTGGAGTGATAAACTCAGACTGAAGACTAGGATGAGGCTCCTCCCACTTTGTAAAGGCCATGGCTTTGGCTACAGTTCCTGGTGGGAACAGTCTACATAATTCTACGGTTAAATTCATTATAGCCAGTTGGCAGTCTTGCTACATTAACACTTCTTTTCCCAGCTTGCTTTGCTCACTCTTCATGCTCAGGACGTGCTTAAATTTGCACTTCTTTTTCTCTTTATTTAATGATTTACTCATAGAAATGTGCAGATGGCTGTCCCAAGTCTCTTCTCATTTTCTTGCCTTGTTTCCTTCCAGGAATGGAAGAAATAGTATTTGTTCCACTTCCCCTCTGACCTCAAACAGAATTATTTTTTCCCCGTAGTCCCAAATAAAAAGTTTAAACAAAACAAACAAACAAAAAACCCAAACCAATCTAAAACTAAAACCAGGAACAACTAACTGTCTTGGGATAGTGTTGCTTACCATAGCAAGTAGAACAGGGCTTCTAGGAGCTAGCAGTTATTCTCACTGGCCAGGAGAGCTTCCTCTTAAACATCAGTATATAGTAAAGGCTCTACAGTACCACATGGTCTCACCAACACAGTATTGCCCAGCAATAATGGTAACAGCCATCAAACCATTTTTGGCTGGTACAGTGGAAAGGTGCTATGAGTTGACCCATTTGCCTTAGCAGCCACACAACCAGGAAAACTGTTCACTGTTCTTCCTAACATATCATATGGCTAGAGATTATTAACAGTTCGCCACACTGAACTTTCTTCTCCTTCATCTCCTGGCAACTACATTAAGGTAATAAAGCAAATCACTGATCAATATTCTCCCACATTTCAGTGAACAGTTACCTGGCAATACACAGATATCTTCTATGTAATTAGTTAAGTGTACACGTTCGGGACACATACTAGTTTACTAAAAGTGTGAAATTTATAATTAAACAGAGGCATAATCTTCCTGTCCTTTAATCAGACCCCTTTCCTTCATATCCTGCTGCTATGATCTTTCAGTTTTTGGCAAACCATCTTCTACCCCTATTTCCTTATTTCCCCTCTCAGGTGCTGGCACATGCCGGAGGGTCTATAATCAGTGCTACTGCGTGGTCTGTTTTTTTTTTTTTTTTTGCTTAAAGAGAAGTTACATTCCAAAAAAGAGTCAATGAAAATGACTTCATGGGTTTTCGTATTTATTCCCTTTTAATGACTTCTGTATATCCAGCTGTTGTCTCTGCCTCTTACATCACCACTGTGATAAAGAGCTGCCCTTAGACTTCAGCAAGTCTCTTGATGGCATCAGATTCGGAACAAAGAGAGGGTCCCTTCTCTTCACCCTGCTGCTTTACTGGCATCTCTGCACACTTGCCTTGGAAGCCATCTCAGAGTAGAGCCGCTATGGAACACAATGCCACATGTCACATGAGAAACTGTCTGCTGAGGTCTGCCTTCATTGTGGCCTTTGCTCCTCACTCCTCAGAGATCATCAAACCAATGTAAAATGGAAGCTCGCATAAATGGTACAGTGAAAACAACAGCGACAATTTACTACTTATCTACATTTTATCAGGGACCACACATCTGCATATATGAAAACATTTTCATTTAACTTTCTCAGCCATGTTGATTAATAAGCCCAGTTTATGGAGGAGGAACAATGACTCAGTAAGCTCACGGAACAAGTCTGTGATTAGAAAGCTTGAAGACGGTGAGGCTAGACTCTAAATGTACCTCCTTCTGACTCTGTTCTTGTCACT